GACTTAGAAGTGGAGCCTGAAGATATGACTGAATTGATCTCATTCCTAGATTTTCCTTTCCCTCTTATTGGTTAGTTTATTGTTTGTCCCACTGAATATCCATTACCTCAGGCAGGCCCCAGGGAAGATAATTAGGGTTTTCGCACTCAGGATTGCTCTGAGTCAGGAGTAGTCTTGCAGGAAGGGTTTTCCAAAGAACCACCAAACAGGTGACATAAAGATAATTCTCTGGGAATGAGGCTTTGAAGGTGCTCCAATTCCATTTTGCTTCCTCTGGTGCCTGCCAGGCTGTTGGTTTTTACTAAGATTACAGGCAGTCGGTTTTCAAGACTACCAAGGAGCTGGAAAAGGGGCCAAGAATAAGGAATGCCACAGAGCTCACTGAGATGCAGCTGTTTTTCTTTAATAATCATTCCCTGAGGCCAGGTGCGGTGGCTCAAGCCTGTAATCCCAGCAGTTTGTGAGGCCGAGGCGGGTGGATCACGAGGTCAAGAGATCGAGACCATCCTGGTCAACACGGTGAAACTCCGTCTCTACTAAAAATACAAAAAATTAGCTGGGCATGGTGGCACGTGCCTGTAATCCCAGCTACTCAGGAGGCTGAGGCAGGAGAATTGCCTGAACTCAGGAGGCGGAGGTTGCAGTGAGCCGAGATCGCGCCATTGTACTCCAGCCTGGGTAACAAAAGTGAAATTCCATCTTTTAAAAAAAAAAAAAAAATCATTCCCTGGATTGCTATTTGGTTAGTTTCCAGAATTATGAAAAAGTTGATTCTTACAAATTTCTGCCAGCTGTTTCCCTGATTTTATGGAGATAATTCTGTGTTCCTTACTCTGCCATTTTCACTGACATCACCCAGGTTTTCTTTTATTTCTTTCTTTTTTGTTTTTTTGAGATGAAGTCTTGCCCTGTGGCCCAGGCTGGAGTACAGTGGCGAGATCTCGGCTTACTGCAACCTCTGCCTCCTGGGTTCAAGCGATTCTCCCGCCTCAGTCTTTCGAGTAGCTGGGATTACAGGCGCCCACCATCACCCCCCGCTAATTTTTGTATTTCTTTTTGAGACGAAGTTTCGCTCTTGTTACCCAGGCTGGAGTGCAATGGCGCCATCTCGGCTCACCGCAACCTCTGCCTCCTGGGTTCAAACAATTCTCCTGCCTCAGCCTCCTGAGTAGCTGGGATTACAGGCACGTGCCACCATGCCCAGCTAATTTTTTGTATTTTTAGTAGAGACGGGGTTTCACCATGTTGACCAGGATGGTCTCAATCTCTCGACCTCATGATCCACCCACCTAGGCCTCCCAAAGTGCTGGGATTACAGGCTTGAGCCACCGCCCCCGGCCCTAATTTTTGTATTTTTAGTAGACAGGGTTTCACCATGTTGGCCAAGCTGGTCTCGAACTCATGACCTCTAGTGATTCGACTGCCTTAGCCTCCCAAAGTGCTGGGATCACAGGCATGAGCCACTGTGCCCGACCTGGTTTTCTTTTTAAATGGTGCTAAGCAAGTTTACCAACTCATTTCTTGAGATTCTGAGTGAATGGCAGCTATAGCTACCATGAGAATAAACAATAAGAAAAGCATTTTAAACAAAAAAGAAAGAAATTTTAAAAAAAGAAAAGCATTTTATAAAAGGATTTAATCAAATACATACTAGAGTTAGGCTGCTGACGTATATCAATAACATTCTACATAGAACCCAGTAAAAAAGTGATAGACAATTTTAAAAAAATCACTTTAATATTGCTTTTATGTAGCAAAGAATTTCCAAAGCCAGGCAAGAACACAGGAAAGGGGAACTATGAAAACCAATAGGAAGCAGTGCTAGGGTTTCTCCCTGGGAACAGATTTAGAAGCCAAGAAATACTCCTCCTTCCCTGCACTTATCACCTTTGCATTAAATATATTTTGCTCCCTCCTTACCCTCTGCAGTCCTGGACTCCACATGCTCCATGACAACAAGTATTGTGATCTGTGCTATTCACCAACTTATCTAGGGCAAAGTTTAGCCTTAATCACACAGAGGAGTGTTATCACTATTTGATGAATGACTCAAGCAGCCAGAATGAAACTGCCTCAAACAAACAAGAAAGGAGTTTGTTATCTCAGCTAAGCCTGTTGGGAAGAAGAGCTCACTACTTTCTGTAGCTTTGGCTTCTAGGCCAACTCTATGAATCAAAAGTTGTTCACCTTGGCCCAGGCTTTCAACACCTGGCTAAGGGACAGTCTGTCAGGTGAGTAAATGTCAAACATCACACTGAGAAATTCATCTCAAGAAATTCAGAAGTTACAAGTAAATTAGTCCTGGGAAAGCCCATATTTTAGGAAAAAAAAGTTTTAATATGACATTTATCTGGCTCCAAAATTCACGTTCTTTCCACTTAATTGCACACTTCCTGACCTTCTAGACCTTTAGTTTATTCCCTTCGTGGAGACAGATTATGGCTGCCAAACAGCTTGACTGATATCTTTCGACATTTACATTCTGTATAAATCATTCCCTGAGCAGATTCTACAAGCAATTTTTTTTTTTTTTTTTGAGACAGACTCACTCTGTCGCCCAGGTTGGAGTATAGTAACAAGATCTCAGCTCACCGCAATCTCCACCTCCTGGGTTCAAGCAATTTTCGTGCCTCAATTTCCCGAGTAGCTGGGACCACAGGTGTGTGCCATCACACCAGGTTAATATTTTATATTTTTAGTACAGTTAGGGTTTCACCATGTTGGCCTTGGACTCCTGACCTCAAGGGATCTGCCTGACTTGGCCTCCCAAAATGCTGGGATTATAGGTGTGAGCCACCAAGCCCAGCCACATCAAGCAATTTTCTGACTATAGTCTGGCTTCTGTGTGGCTCTCTAGTGGTTCTATTTTGCTTTGTAAGTTGGCATCTGGTTTATATGTATCACCCATGAGTTGGTTAATACAAGTCAGTGTGCCTGACCAAGAGGAATCCACTCTGTGTCCCCCAACAAGAATGAGTGCATGGATAAGCAAGACTGAGGACTGCTGCAAGAGGCCTCCTGATAGCCAGTTCCTGGAGACACCACTCACAGCCTTCAGCCATTGAAAGTTAGCCCACTTACTTTGGCAGGGTCCCCAGACTGCACCATAAGGTGCCTTCACCTATAACAAAAATGTATGAAATCTTACCCTGCCTTTATAATGTGAGTAGTGACATCTTAAAATAACAGAGTATAGCCAGGCCTGGTGGTACACACTGGTAATCTCAGTTACTCAGGAGGCTGAGGCACAAGAATCACTTGAATCCGGGAGGCAGAGGTTGCAGTGAGCTGAGATCGCACCACTGCACTCCGGCCTGGGTGCCAGAGCAAGACTCTTGCCTTAAAAACAAAAAAATCCAGAGTAATATGCTTGGCAATACTTGTCAACACAGAACTAGGCACCTGTCATCCTTCATGGGTACTACACACAGAATGGTGCCACAGTCACGGCAAGCCCCAACATAAAATCAGCAAGATCCGTTAAAAAGGATGCTGAATCTAGATTTAGAAGGTGGAATTCCAATTCCAGCCTTATCACAACCCAATCACAAATTATCCCATCAGCTTCCTCATTTGTAAAACATGAGTAATGGATAACCTAGCTACTACTTTTTAGTATCATTTCAATATTTTCACAATGTTAGAAAATATGGGTATGGTGGCACACGCTAATCAGGAGGCTGAGGTAGGAAGAGCACCTGAGCCCAGGGAAGCTGAGGCTGCAGTGAACTGTGATTGCACCACTGCACTCCAGCCTGGACAGCAGAGTGAGACTCTGTCTCAAAAAAAAAAAAATTAAAAATAAAAATAAATACATAAATAATAAGAAAAAGAAGAAAGAGAAAACAAAGGGATTTGATTGATGCTGCCTCCATTTACCTGTGTAGAAAACAAGACAGATCAGGTTTCGATACCAGTCCTAACTCTTCTATGCTATAGCTATGAGACCCTGAACAAAGCCCTCTCTCAGGGTATCAGTTTCCTTCACATACAAATTGAAGGTTGAATTAAATTTCCAAGCATTTTGAAAACACTTAGAAGACTAAATGTGAAATAAAACAAACAAGTTGGAAAAATAGACAGGGTAATTAGCTGTGCGTGATGGCAAACACCTGTAATCCCAGCAATTTGGGAGGCTGAGGCAGAAGAATTGCTTCAACCTCAAAGATGGAGGTTGCAATGAGCCAAGATCATGGCATTGCACTCCAGCCTGCGTGACAGAGTGAGACTCAGTTTTAAAACAAAAAACCAAGAGCCGGGCGCGGTGGCTCAAGCCTGTAATCCCAGCACTTTGGGAGGCCGAGGCAGGTGGATCACGAGGTCGAGAGATTGAGACCATCCTGGTCAACATGGTGAAACCCCATCTCTACTAAAAATACAAAAAAAAAAAAATCAGCTGGGCATGGTGGTGCGTGCCTGTAATCCCAGCTACTCAGGAGGCTGAGGCAGGAGAATTGCCTGAACCCAGGAGGCGGAGGTTGCGGTGAGCCGAGATCGCACCATTGCACTCCAGCCTGGGTAACAAGAGTGAAACTCCGTCTCAAAAAAAAAACCAGACAGGATTTAGACAATTGTTATTCTTCATAATAACCCTGACAGCTAAGCTCTTCAAGAGGCAAATTCATAGCAAAGACTATGAAAGAACATTAACTGTGCCTCTAAGTGGAGTGCCAGTGAATAATGAATTTGAGTGAGTGGAGTAGACTTACAAGTTAAGAAATAATTTGTGGTGTACAAGACACAATCTGAAGAACAGCTAATCTACAGAGATTACCAACAAACTACCACCTAGTTTTCAAGATACAACAGTTTAATTTATCCCCTCATTACTTTGTGAAGTAAGCCAAGCACTTCTACTTCCATCTGACTTATGAAAAAATGAGGGTCAGAAGTTATCTGACTTGCCAAAAAGTCACAATGTCAGTCCCTGAATGGCAGAGCCTCAGTTTCATATTTGCTAGTACAGCAATGATCACGAACTTATCCATGTATTTATTTACCTGGCACTGGCTGTCCTCTGAGATCCTCCGGCTCTTGTCCTCCGTGAAGCAGGTATCCTCCTTCTTGTTCTTATTGGGCCTGCACTGTGGTTTGAAGGGGCAGGTCTTAGGAATTCCAGCATGCCATGAAGTCTCTGTAGCCCACTGATGAAGCTGGACATTGAATGCAATGAAGATGCTCGGATGTTGTGATTAGCACCAGACGCCTGACTATGTTGTTCTGAAACCCCTGGACTGATGTTCTCCACATTGTCTTCGCCCACAACCTCGACTTCTTCTGTTAGGTCAATGGACAGTTGTGGAGCAGGTTGGAGCAGGGGTGGTCTCACTTGGCTATTGGGTACTTCAACAGGAGAAGGATGGAGCAGGGGTGGTCTCACTTGGCTATTGGCCACTTCAGCAGGAGCAGGCTGGAGCAGGACTGGTTCCCCTTGGCTACTGACCACTTCAGCAGGAGATGGCTGGAGGATAGGTGGTCCCCTTTGGCTGCTAAGCACATCAGCAGGAACAAGCTGGAGGAGGGCTGGTCCCCCTTGGCTGCTGGCCATGTCAGCAGGAGCTGGCTGTTCTGCAGCATGATTTAACTGTTCCTGAAGATCATATTCCATTGCTTCCTGAGCCATCACTAGAGAAACAATATTTGTTAAAAGTATTAATGAAATAGATAAAACATGCTATGTAGCTGACAGAATCGTATTTAGTTCTTTCTGAATTTATGTTTAAGATCATTCTTAGCAAGACTCAGAAGCTTCAAGAGAGGATTTTAACTACTTAAGTCAGAAGTGTTTGGTAACTGACTTTCTTCTCTACAAGCATTTATAACCAGTTCTCCAGTTTGCCCTTAGAAAACATGAAGTCCTGTGATGATAGTAGTATCTTCCAAAATGGAAAGACCTATTAACCAAGAGGATTAAACTACTGGGTCTAAAAGTAATCTCTCAGACACGCTGCAGTTCTCTGTCTCAAGCTGAATATGGACATTCACCAAAATCAAATACATATAATGCTGTATCTAATCTTAGCAGGCAATATAAATCTTTCACAGCATCAAGTTACAAAGGACAAATGGAGAAACTTCACACTTGCAAATTTAACTGAGTTACTAACTCAAATTAACTGAATTACTAACTCAAAATGAAAGTTTACCTAATTTTTCCAAAAAGGCTGCACAAACTTTATCATTATTTTTGTTTTCCGTTTCTAATTTCATCATATTAGTCTATTCAACAAATATTAAGCACCTATGTTCTTTTCATTGTGTTTCCCAACTTTAATTCCATCCATAACATCAGTTTGAAAACTACCACCTAGTTTTTAAATTAAAAAAAAAAATAAAATAAAAAAAAATTTTTTTTTTTTTTTTTGGTTTTGTGATACAGACGAGGGCTTTCTATGTTGCCCAAACAGGTCTCGAATGTCTGGCCTCACCTCCTCATGTGCCAGGACAAAAGGATTGAGCCACCGAGCCTCCCTACCACCTAGTTTTTTTTTTTTTTTTTGAGACAGAGTCTAGCTCTGTTGCCAGACTGGGGTGCAGTGGCCTGATCTCAGCTCACTGCAACCTCTGCCTCATGAGTTCAAGTGATTCTCCTGCCTCAGTCTCCTATCTGGGACTACAGGAGCATGCCACCACACCTGGCTAATTTCTTTTTTGGTATGTTTAGTGGAGACAGGATTTTACCATGTTAGCTAGGATGGTCTCGATCTCCTGACCTCGTGATACGCTCGTCTTGGCCTCCCAGAGTGCTGGAATTACAGGCGTGAGTCACTACCCCCGGCTCTTACCACCTAGTTTTTAAAGTATATCAGTATAGCCGGGCGCGGTGGCTCAAGCCTGTAATCCCAGCACTTCGGGAGGCTGAGGCGGGTGGATCATGAGGTCAAGAGATCGAGACCATCCTGGTCAACATAGTGAAACCCCGTCTCTACTAAAAAAAAAAAAAAAAAAAAAAGTATATCAGTATAACTTATCCCTCAATTACTTTGTGAAGGCACATGCTTTTATTTTCATCTGACTTATGAGGAAATGGGTGTTCAACTAATATTTATTAAGCATCTGTTATGCAGACAGACACCCTAGAGGCAAAGACAGGTAAGATCCTGTGTATCAGAGTTTATATTCTAGCAAGTGGGATGTTAATAAACAAATATGAGAAAATTATAGATTATGATATTTGGGGTTGAGGAGACAAGAAGGACAAACTAAGACACAATTGTGAGGAAAGTACTCTTTAATAAAAAGAGTGAAAATTGGCCTGAGGTATGAAGGATTTAAAAAAGCTGGCTATGCAAAGAGCCAAGAAGAGTTTCAAAAGGAAACTCTTAGGTCCCTGATGATCACGGGCTTGACTGATCAGCAGGACACCATCATTAAACGGACCATGGGCCTTGGTAAGGAGTTTCTTCTGTGTTAGGAATAGACTGCAGGGGTGCAAGAGCACAAGCTAGGTGACCAGTGTAGAGGCTATTGTAGGAGGTCACACCAGAGGACACAGAGACTTAGGCAAGAGTGGTAGCAGTGTAGATGAGAAACAGACAGCTTTAAGAATCTTCAGGATAGTCATGCTTCTTAAATTCACCAAAGCAGATTAAACCACCTAAAGAGGAACAGAATGATAGAAGAGGGCCAAGGACTATAAAGCCAGAGACACTACTGGTAAAAGGACAACAGAGTAACAGAAGCCAGTTAAGGAAGATTACAAAGTAGGAGGAAACATGGGACTGTAGTGTTTTGGAAAAAGAATGTTTCAAGGAAGGAACGATTAAGTGTCAAGTACTACTGGGGGAAAGAATGACCCCTAGATTTGGCAAGGACAGGTGACCTAAGAAACCAGTTTCCCTGAAGTGATGGGGTTAGAGGCCAGAATGGAGTAGGCTGAATAAATGGAGGGAATTCAAATAAATATGGTATACAAAGCACATATATCTATCTTTCTCTCTCCACTCCAGTCATTCCTAAAAACCCACAAATGTAACTTCCCCTACCCAAGATTTTTTATTTATTTATTATTTTTTTTGAGATGGAGTCTTGCTCTGTCCCCAGGCTGGAATGCAGTGGTTCGATCTTGGCTCACTACAACCTCTGCCTCCTGGGTTCAAGTGATTCTCCTTCCTCACCCTCCCGAGTAGCTGGGACTACAGGCACATGCCACCACATCTGGCAAATTTTTGTATTTTTAATAGATACGGGGGCTCACCATATTGGTCAGGCTGGTCTCAAACACCTGACCTTGTGATCCACTGGCCTTGGCTTCCCAGTGTTGGGATTACAGGCTTGAGCCACCATGCCTGGCAGACATATTTTTTAAACAAAGGATAAACACACCAGGACAACGCAAATGCAAACAGGATATGATATGCAGACCAGTTTTTTGAGGCCACAAAGGAGAAACTGATGACTGATGACTACCTAGAGCCAAAAGATAAAACTCAAATGTCTGCAAAGAGCACAGTGGTTGGGGTAAGGGTTGTGTTATTGAGAAGCAAGCTAATTCCCACTTAAAAGGATTGCAAAAACCAGGTACCAGAAAAGGCATTACTGAAAGATGGAGATAAAAGAGGGGGGTTGGTTAAAAGCCAATAAGGTAGTTAGCCTGTCTCATACTCAAACAAATACCAGCCAGCCAAAACAAAACAAAACAAAATCCTCTTCCCACTATGCTGAAGAAAACTGGAGGTTTGAACCACACCTCTTAGGACCAGGATGGAGAGTGGCACGGCAGTGAAAATAAGTGGGAAAGTTAAAGTCTGCAAACTGAACAATGTGAGATACTTTGAAGTTTTAAACATTTTTTTTTGTAGAGATGGGGTTTCCCACGTTGCCCAGGCTGGTACTAAACTCCTGGGCTCAAGCAAACCTCCTGCCTGGGCATCCTAAAGTGCTGGGATTACAAGAGTGAGCTACTGCAGCTGGCTAGCTAAATAAAAGCTTTCAATGTGTTTCTAGGGTACAACAACAGCTTCCCAACAATTGTGTGTCAGAACATAAAGCCCAAGCTACTTCTAGATGTACTCTAGAGACACGAAGCAACCCAGCTTTAGTGAAGATAAAGGGTAGAAAATGACCAAAAAGAGTAGAATCTAGGGAACTGCACTGTCCACTCCCACATGGTTATTTAATAAAAATCAAGTTCACCCAGGAGCTGTGGCTCATGCCTATGATCCCAGCACTTTGGAAGACTGAGGCAGGTAGCTTGAGACCAGGACTTAGAGATCAGCCTGGGCAACATGGCAGAATCCGGTCTCTACAAAAAAATTAACCATTAGTAGCTGTGGTTCCAGCTACTGAGGAAGCTGAGGTGGGAGGATCTGTTGAGCCTCCGATGTCTTGGCAGTGAGCCAAGATCGTGCCACTGTACTCCAGACTGGGAGACAGTGAGACCCTGACTTAAAAAAAAGAGTAAGTTCCTCTGTTACGCTGGTCACATTTCAGGTGGTAGAAACGCATATAGGCCAGGTAGCTCCCATGCTGGACAGCACAAATACAGAACATTTTCCTCGCCACAGAAAGTTCTATGGAACACGGCAGCTCTGGAGCTGAGGATTCCTAACCACTGCGGACCAGTAGGAGGTGCACAGAGCAAGATCATGGGCTGGGCGCCCTAACCTTGAGCATGTCACACAAATGCTGTTTTTTTAATGTGCGCTGTGAGTGTCGAGGCTTAACATGTTAAACTCCGACTTGTCATCTTTGTTACTCAGGTTTCAATCAAAGCCACATCAGGTGGGGACAAAAGTCCCTCAATTAACAGGTTCAGAGGAGGTGGGTGGGGGAAATCGGGACAACCTTGGTTTAAATCTTTGCTCTGGCCGGCTCGAAGACTCACGCCTGTGATCCCTGGACATTGGGAGGTCGAGGCAGGGCGATCGCTTACGCTCTGCAGTTTGAGACCAGCTTGGGCAACACAGTGAGATTCCCGTCTCTACCAAAAAAGAAAAATGAAACAGGCCATGTGCCGTGGCTCACGCCTGTAATCCCAGCACTTTGGGAGGCCGAGGCGGGCAGACCACTTGAGATCAGAGTTTGAGACAGGCTTGGCCAATATGGTGAAAACCCGTCTCCACTAAAAATACAAAAAGTACCCCGGTATGATGGCACATGCCTATAATCCCTGCTACTCGGCAGGCTGAGGCAAGAGAATCACTTGAACCCCGGGAGTTGGAGGTTGTAGGGAGCCGAGATCGCGCCACTGCACTCCAGCCTAGGCAACAGGCCAAATGAAGAAATAAGTAAAATAAAGAAGAAAAATAAAACAACGAGCTGGGCGTGGTGGCCGCGCCTGTGGTCCAAGCTACTGTGAAAAGCCTAGGCCAGAGGCTCGCTGGGGCTTGGGAGTTCGAGACTGGAGTGAGTTCGAGACTGCAGTGAGCTCTTCCAACCTGGGCCCAACAGGGAGACTTCTTTAACAGGAAAGAAAAGGAAAGAGAGAAAAGAGGAGGAAAAGAAAGAGGAAAAAAGAAAAACATCAAATCCCCACCCTTTTACTGCATGGGAAACTTGAGGCGGGTTTCCTAAGCTCTCGGTTCAACTTGTTTCGCCCGTAAAACGGAGATAATACAAGTCGCTAGAGTTTCCGTGATGAAATTAAAAATGAAGTTCCGTTAACTTGAAAGTGATGAAGTAACCGGCGCTCATGGCCGGCACCAGGTATCGCCGACGAGGAGCCGGAGGCGAGGCTCGCAGGGGAGGGGCCGGGCGACCCCACGGCCCCGCCCGGAAAGACCCGGCAGCGGCGAACTCCGCTCGTATCTCTCCGCGCTCCTGCCTGCCCAGCCCCCACGCTCAGCAACCCCGAAAGTGCGGGGCTCCGGCCCCTCAGCCCCGACTATTGGCGCCGCCCAGAGGGCCCGAATCAGCTCAGGCCGCCGGAGCCCGCCCGCAAGTCCCACCTCGTAAGGTGTCTCCGGGACCCCAATCTAGAAATCAGAAGTGCGGAAGTTATCCAGGAGCTAGAGGCCCAAGGCCTGGAGAGAAGCAAGAGTCCTCCTCACCTGACGCCAGTAGGTCGCGGCCGGGCTCGCGAGCCCGCCGAAGACTCCAGCTACTTCACCCGAACTCCGAACGCCACCAACGCCAACTGCCACTTCCCGAGCCGCTCAAGCTCCGCGCCAGAGCCGCGGGCAGGCATGCTCCTATTGGACAGAAGCCTAAGCTGTGGCCAATAGCCACTCTTCTTCTTCAATGGGTCCCCGCTAGCTGAAGCAGCGGCGCTCTCATTGGGGGTTGTTCATAAACCGACGACGCGCGGCCGCGCTCAAGGAAGCCTCCTACAATTGGCAGGAATCTCCGTCAGTCACCTTGCGCCCGCCCCGGAAAAATAAAGGAGAAGGAATTTTTTTTTTTAAAGCGCTTTTTATTTGAACTTTCTGGCGGGAAAAAGTTACACGATTTCTCGGTCCATTTTGGAGATGTATATATTAAAACTGTGACTCCTGCTTCTTGTCCCTAACGCTTTAGTGAAGGAGTTATCTGTATCCAAAGTATAGTAGCTAATCGCATAATTTCGAAATATTTCAGTATTTTGATTTTTGGAGCCTGTAAGGAGGCGTAGACAGTCCTTTCATATGTATCCTCTCATGAGGTTGAGGAGTTCACGCAAAAGACTTTGCCTACACAACCTCTTCCATCTCAAACCGCTGCAGTGGATCCGAACTACTAAATAGTCTCAAATCACTTAGCAGGGCCGCTGCCCGCCGCAGGCGAGGGGCCTGCGGAATTCTCCAGCTACAAGGAGCGCGAGCCCACCTCGGTTTTTTGTTTTTTGTTTTCTACAATGGGGTGCAGCCTCAAGGTAAACACATACCCTTGACTTTGTAAACTCTTCAAAGTCGAGGGTTATATGTACAGATAACAGAGAGTTACGTTTCCTCCTTTTTTTTTTTCCTTTTCTTTGAGACGTAATCTTGCTCTGTCACCAGGCTGGAGTGCGGTGGCGCAATCTCGGCTCACTGGAACTTCCGCCTCCTGGGTTCAAGCGATTCTTCCGCCTCAGCCTCCTGAGTAGCTGGGATTACAGGCACACGCCACCATGCCCAGCTAATTTTTTTTGTATTTTTAGTAGAGACGGGGTTTCACCGTGTTGGCCAGGATGGTCTCGATCTCTTGACCTCGTGATCCACCTGCCTCGGCCTCCCAAAGTGCTGAGATTACAGGCGTGAGCCACCGCGCCCAGCCGGTTCCTCCTAGAGAAGAATCTCGTGCTCAAGGACAGCCCCTTAGTGACCAGCAACAAAAAGCAGCTGGCAGGAAAGCCACAAAACAGATAAACCCAGACAAGATGATGAAGACGATCTGCATGTAGCAGAGCTCACTAATGAAGATCTTTTGGATAAGCTTATAAAATACGGAATGAATCCTGGTTCTGTGGTGGGCTGGGAAGCTATATGAGAAAAAGCTTTTGAAACTGAGGGAGCAAGGAACAGAATCAAGATCTACCCCTCTTTCAGCAATTTCTTCTTCAGCAGAAAATGCAAGGCTGAATGGAAGTAATGATTCTGACAGATACAGTGACAACGAAGAAGACTCTAAAATAGAGCTCAAGCTTGGGAAGAGAGAACCGCTAAAGGGCAAAGCAAAGACTCCAGTGACCCTCAAGCAAAGAAGAGTTGAGCACAACGAGAGCTGTTCTCAAGCTGGAATAATGGACTGTGGATCCATTATTCCACAGAATAATAGTGGACAAGTGGATCTTCAAAAGGCATTAACTAGGGAATCTACAGGAGGGTCAAGAAGAACTCCAAAGAAAAGGATGGACACTTCCGAACATTTTCATATAGATGGTTCAGTAATTTCAGTGAGTATTCCTATAGCTGAAACTATAATGGCTTCAAACAACGAAATCTTAGTTGTCAATAGGGTGACTGGAAATTTCAAGCATGCACCTCTTATTCTGCCAATCACTGAATTCTCAGACATACCCAGAAGAACACCAAAGAAACCGTGGACAAGGCAGGCATGGTGGCTCATGCCTGTAATCCCAGCACTTTGGGAGGCCAAGGCAGACAGATGGATTATGAGGTCAGGAGTTCAAGACCAGACTGGCCAACATGGTGAAACCCTGCCTCTATAATAATAATAATAATAAACCTTAAAAAAAAGAAGAAGAAGAAGAAGAAACCATGGACAAGAGGTGAAGTGGGAGAAAAAACACAGGAAAGAAATGTAGAAAGGGGTATTCTTTGTTTTTTTGAGACAAGGTCTACCTCTGTCACCCAGGCTGGAGTGCAGTGGCGTGATCTTGGCTCACTGCAACCTTTGCCTCCCAGGTTCAAGTGATTCTCCTGCCTCAGCCTCCCAAGTAGCTGGAACTACAGATGCATGCCACCATGCCCAGCTAATTTTTGTATTTTTAGTAGAGGCGAGGTTTCACTCTGTTGGCCAGGCAGGTCTTGAACTCTTGATCTCAAGTGATCTGCCCACCACCTTGGCCTCCCAAAGTGCTGGGATTACAGGCATAAGCCACCACACCTGACCATAATGTTCACTACCTTGACAGGGCTTGGATTACTTATATGTATGCATTTGTCAAAACTTGTCCTTTAGTATTTGTGCATTTCACACAAATTTTTCATAGCAATAATGTACCTCTCCACCCACTCCCCTAAAAAAAGCCCATAGAGTTGGGTGCGGTGGCTCATGCCTGTAATCCCAGCACTTTGAGAGGCTGAGTCAGGTGGATCACCTGAGGTTGGAAACTTGAGACCAGCCTGACCAACATGAGGAAACCCCGTGTCTACTAAAAAACCAAAATTAGCCGGGCGTGGTAGCACATGCCTGTAATCCCAGCTACTTGGGAGGCTGAGGTGGGAGAATCACTTGAACCTGGGAGATGGAGGTTGCAGTGAGCTGAGATGGAGCCATTGCACTCCAGCCTGGGCAACAAGGATGAAACTCCGTCTCAAAAAAAAAAAAAAAAAAAAAAAAAAAAAAAAAAAAGCCCATAGGGAGAGAAACTCCAGTTAACGGCATAAATGCTGAACGGCATAAATGCCGAAGTGTTTAGGAATGAAATACATAAAAAATTAGGATGGATTAATGGATAGAAAGAAGGACAAGTAGATAAATAGGTATATGATAAAACAAATACAATAAATTGTTAGTTGTAGAGTTTAGGTGGTAGGTATGTGGTTGTCCAGAGTACAGTTACACTGACTTTTCTGCATATCTGAAAATTTTCATAAATAAGTGTTGGGAGAAATCAGGCACAGGGACTTGGAAGGCATTTTGTGCAATTAAAAGGCCCTGAAGATTATGCTTTATCAATTTTTCAGTAAATTCACCTATAATAATTGTGGGTCTGCCAGAGTATGAATAATTCATCTACCAGGGAGAATTTTTACTGTACCTCCTACAGCAAATAGAACAAATGATTTTAAAGATGAAAACAGTGTCTGGGCATGGTGGCTCACACCTGTAATCCCAGTCTCTTTGGGAGGACAAAGTAGGAGGATCCCTCAAGGACAGGAGTTCCAGACCAGCCTGGGCAACACACCAGACCCTGCCTCTGAAAAGAAAAAAAAAGAAAGAAAGAAAGAAAAAGGAAAAAAGAAAGAAGGAAGAAAATAAAATAGTAATACCTACCAATAAGTTCTACAAAATAATCATATTATATGTATATTCTTCTGCATTTTTTATTTGAAAAAAAAAAAAAAAACAAACATGTTCTAGGTTTAAAAAAAATCAAGGATAAATAAAAGATGAAAAAGTAAGGCCAGGTGTGGTGGCTCATGCCTGTAATCCCAGCACTTTGGGAGGCCAAGATGGGAGGATCACTTGAGCCTAGAAGTTCAAGACTAGCCTAGGCAACACAGTGAAACCCTGTCTCATAATAATAATATTATAATAATCATTTGTAATAAATCAGCCATAACTTTATTCACCAGAGATGACTACTAGAATACAAGATCTAAATGTATTTTTATTGCTGTCTTCTCAGTGATTGAAACAATGTCTAGCACATTTGCTGTTGAATGATTTAGAATGATTTCTGGGGGAAAAAATGTAACTTGAGAGGCAGGGGTTAGTCTATCCTAGGAAAAGCACACACCAGGAACAAAGGTATAAGTAATCTAGGGGCCGGGTGCAGTGGCTCAAGCCTGTAATCCCAGCACTTTGGGAGGCAGAGGCGGGTGGATCACGAGGTCAGGAGATCGAGACCCATCCTGGTCAACATGGTGAAAGCCCGTCTCTACTAAAAATACAAAAAATTAGCTGGGCATGGTGGTGTGTGCCTGTAATCCCAGCTACTCAGGAGGCTGAGGCAGGAGAATTGCCTGAACCAGGAGGCGGAGGTTGCGGTGAGCCGAGATCGCACCATTGCACTCCAGCCTGGGTAACAAGAGTGAAACTCCGCCTCAGGAAAAAAAAAAAAAAAAGAAATCTAGAGTGAGGTATAAGGAATTCAGGTGTGGTGGCTCATGCCTGTAATCCCAGCACTTTGGGAGGCCAAAGTGGGCAGATCACTTGAAATCAGGAGTTTGAGACTAACCTGACCAACATGGTAAAACCATGTCTGTACTAAAAATACAAAAATTAGCTGGGCATGGTGGTGCACACCTGTAATCCCAGCCACTTGGGAGGCTGAAGCAGGAGAATCACTTGAACCTGGGAGGCAGTGGTTGTAGTAAGCTGAGATTGCATCATTGCATTCCAGCCTGGACAACAATAATGAAACTGTCTAAAATAAAATTTAAAAAAAAGTCTAGAATGAAAGCACCACAGACTTGGGTTTGAGTCTGGCAGGGATTAAAATCTGGCAGCTCTTATGCGGATATATTTTGTTTGTCCTATCAGCATTAAAATAATTTTTTTTGAGACAGAGTCTTACTCTCTTGTCTCGATCTCTTGACCTCATGATCCGTCTGCCTTGGCCTCCCAAAGTGCTGGGATTACAGGTATGATTATATTTAGCCCTGCCTAAAATAATTTTTAATGATATATTAACCTTTAAAAATAAAGACATCACAGAAAAATCCAATTTTCTAGCTCTTGACAAAATGGAAAGCTCTAGAAATGTCAGGATCCCGTTCTATGTGACAAAGTATAAACTAGAGTTGAGCAGAGGTTGTTCTTGCTCATCTGTTCACCAAAGCCCCTTCCAGGCTCAAGTCGCCCACTTAGATTCCTTCCTAGGCCCTATAGGTATTAGAGTTTGCAGTCTCTGGTAGGAGAACTCTGGGATCTGATTGGAAAGTCAGGCTGGAATGTATGGTATGGTATGGTGTAGATGTCTGAATAGGAAGTTTATACTTGATTTTTTTGGGCAAGAGGAATATTCAAACAGTGTTTGCTCAGTTACTTTTATTGTGTAACAAAGCACCCCAAAACTTAGTGTTAAGACAACAATAATTTATTTAGCTCCTGATTGTTTGAATGGGCAATTTGGGCTGGGCTCTGCTTGAGTGGTTCTTCTGGTCTTGATTGACCTCATTCACATAACTGTGTTAGCTGCCATATTGGTTGGTCTAGTATGACTTCAGCTAGGAAAGCATGTTTCTGCTTCATGTGGTCTCTCATTCTCCAGCATGCTCGCTCGTCATGTTAATGGCTGGGTAAAGTTCCAACAGACATTTATAAGGCCTCCTGAAGCCTAGGCTTGGAACTGGCACACAGTCACTTCTTCCACATTCTAATGATAAATCAAGTCACAATGCCAGCCCAGATTCAAGGGTGGGAAAACAGACTTCATTTATGGATGGGAGGAACTGCAAATTACATTATTAAGAGGTATGGACACCCAGAAAGATACATTTGACAAACCATCTATCAAAGCTACTGTCAGAGGTGTATTTTTGGAAGTATCATTTGAAGTGGGATGTGTCCTGTATGACTGGAATTGTTTTCTATTTGTAACAGAGAAGTGCCCACACTCGTTGCACCCATAAATAACTCAATGGCAAAGGATATGAGAGAGAGATGTCCAGTTTGTGCCTCTCCCAGCCTCTTGTCCAGGGACTCCTTGGCTTAGATTTCAAAATACTACTTAGTAAAGGTGGAGAGTTTCTTTAAGATTTCTGTGGATGAATGAACAGAAAATTAGACCAGAGCAAGGAGCTGAGAGCCAAGTTAGAAACACAAAGACATTTCTACATTGCACGATAGTTTAGAAACTGCATTCCCCCTGGTCTGGCTGGTGCCTAAACCACCGTCAGCACTCATGCCTTTGTGATATAAAGTTCTCTTACTTGATCAACTTTTGAAACACCAATACCTCATAGGAGGGAGTAAACTCACATTTTATTGTGAATCAGTCTCTGTTATTAGATTCCTTAATACCAGGAGGACCCTAGGTTGTAAGGGAGCCTGGTAGAAGAAGAAAGAAGATAGAGGAAAGTGTGAAGCAGAGGACAGCATCACATAAATCACTTATTTTCTTCCCATCCACCCCAAAGACCAATTTTTTAGGAAGCATCATTAAGTCTGCACTTCTGCTCTGTGGTGGTGAAGAGAAAGGTTCAGACAGAAACTGTACTGTGACTTTGATTTTTCATTCTGAAAGGTAGGGATGTGGATGAAGGGAGAGGAGAGATGACGGATGAGACAATCTCTCAGGTAGTGTGAGAGGTTTTCCTAACAGCCCACCTGTGAGAAGGCCTTGAAGAACAATCCTCATGCTAGAGACTTCTCTAAGTAGAGAGAACATCCTTGGAGGCTGCCTCAAAAGTCTGGACTCATGGCTCTTTAGTTCCTTTTTCCTCTTCCTCCCCCTACCCCTTCCCCCGTCCCTTTCCTTTCAAGACAGAGTCTCACTCTGTAGCCCAGGCTGTAAGGCAGTGGTGCCATCTCAGCTCACTGTAACCTCTGCCTCTGGGGTTCCAGCAATTCTCCTGCTTCAGCTTCCTGAGTAGCTGGCATTACAGGCATGTGCCACCATGCCTAACTAATTTTTCTATTTTTAGTAGAGATGGGGTTTCACCATGTTGGCCAGGCTACTGTTAAACTCCCGACCTGAAGTGATCCACATACCTTGGCCTTCCAAAGAGCTGAGATTACAGGCATAAGCCACTGCGCTTGGCCCCTTCTCTCTTTTGTCTGGGCTTTGTGGGAAGTCTGGGAGATTTAGGTCTAGCGTAGGAGAGAGAGAGGCTCCCAGAGAGGGGGACAGTGTAAGGAAAGCAGCTGATGACATGGTGAGATAAAAGCCTGCATCAGGGAAATAATCCCAAGGATGCTGAAAAAAGGAAGGAAGGCAGACAGGGAGGGAGGAAAAGAGGAAAAAGAGAGACAAAAAGAAAGCAAGAGAGAAGAAAAAGAAGAGAGACAGAAAGACAGAAAGTCAATACCGCCACTTGCTGTGGTGGTGCCTGTTGTCCCAGCTACTCTAGAGACTGAGGCAGGAGGATCACTTGAGCCCAGGAGTTCGAGGCTGTACTGAGCCATGATCCTGCCTCTGTATAGACACTGCACTCTTGCCTGGCCAACACAATGAGACCTCTTCTCTAAAAAAGATAAAAGATTAAAGATAAATAGATACAGACAAAAATAAAGGAGGGAAATAGGCAGGAGCAAAGTAATCTGCCATTCCAAACCACTTTGGATGAAACAATGCCCTTTGGAAGTCCTTACACTATTGACATTTTGCCTGGATAGTTCTTTGCTGTGGAGGGCTGTCCTGTGAAATGTAGGATGTTCATAGCATTCTTTTTTTTTTTTTTTTTTTGAGATGGACTCTCAGCCTGTTGCTCAGGCTGGAGTGCAGTGGCACAATCTTGACTCACTGCAACCTCTGCCTCCTGGGTTCAAGTGATTCTCTTGCCTCAGCCTCCCAAGTAGCTGGAAATACAGGCACATGCCACCATGCCTGGATAATTTTTGTATTTTTAGTAGAGACAGGGTTTCATCACGGTGATCAGACTGATCTCAAACCAGTCTCAACTCCTAACCTCATGTGATCCACCTGCCTTGGCTTCCCAAAGTGCTGGGATTACAGGCGTGAGCCATGGTACTTGGCCAACATTCTTTTTTTTTTTTTTTTTTTTTTTTTGAGATGGAGTCTTGCTCTGTCACCTAGGCTGGAGTGCAGTGGTGCAGTAGTGCAATCTCGGCTCACTACAACCTCCGCCTCCCTGGTTCAAGAGATTCTCGCCGGGCGCGGTGGCTCAAGCCTGTAATCCCAGCACTTTGGGAGGCCGAGGCGGGTGGATCACGAGGTCGAGAGATCGAGACCAACCTGGTCAACATGGTGAAACCCCGTCTCTACTAAAAATACAAAAAATTAGCTGGGCATGGTGGTGCGTGCCTGTAATCCCAGCTACTCAGGAGGCTGAGGCAGGAGAATTGCCTGAACTCGGGAGGCGGAGGTTGCGGTGAGCCGAGATCGCACCATTGCACTCCAGCCTGGGTAACAAGAGCAAAAACTCTGTCTCAAAAAAAAAAAAAAAAAAAAAAAAAAAGAGAGAGAGAGATTCTCATGCCTCAGCCCCCTGAGTAGCTGGGATTATGGGCACGTACTGCTGTGCCCAGCTAATTTTAGTAGAGATAGGGTTTCACCTTGTTGGCCAGGCTGGTCTCAAACTCCTCACCTCAGGTGATCCACCTGCCTCAGCCTCCCAAAGGGCTGGAATTACAGACGTGACCCATCTGACCTCCCTGGCCTTATGACAAACAAAAATGTTTTCAGATGTTGCTACATGTTCCCTGGATAAAATCACTCCTCATTGTAAACTGTTGCCTTAGAGCTGGTGAAAAGGAAATCTTTCATAAATGTGAAATAAACATGGGGCTCATGCTGTTTACACCAGAAAGATCCCTACCATCCACAGAGGGCCGTGCAGACGGCTCATGGGCCCGGCACTCGTCAATGACCTCCCGCAGCTCTGGAGGGCAGTCTTCACTCAGTGGCTCCTGCTGCCGCTTCACAGCCACCAGATCGTAGATCTGATTAGAACGATAGTCTGGAAATGATAGCATGAGAGCCTTAAAAAATTGCTCCGGTACTCGTACATCTCTCTGGATGCTGATGGCTGGCCTCAGAACTAGGCACTCTGAATATGGAAACAACAAGAGCTTCCAACGGTTCCACTGACCAGCCCAGGCAGTCCCCACAGGAAACAACAAATTGCCTAGGGCAGCACTGATGGGGAATTTCTGGTCTATTGGACCGGGACGCAACCCCTGCTGAGTCAGCCTTCACATTTTTTACCTTTAAACGGGATCTTTCCAGTAGCAATTTCCCAGAGGACGATTCCAAAGCTAAAAGAAAACCAAGAAACTGAACAACCGTAACTAGTTTCCTCTTTCCCATGTCCCTCTAGCCACTGCCAGAAAACTCAGTGAATTTCTTTTTATTACTACTCAACTTTGTTCAACAGAGTTGAGCTTAAATGGTCCTTGAAGGAATTTGATTTGGGTTTTCCTATCCTGCACATCTGAGTTAGAATCTGCACCTGTATATGAATGGTATATGAATGTACCTGTATATTTCACACTTTATGTCATATCGATAATATATATCTTCCAGTTTCTGAGGTGAGATGTATGCTGTAGATATGACTGCCTCTGTCTCTTTTCTTGTAGCTTTTGAACTGATGGAAGTCTGGGTTTTCCTCAACTCAAATCCTGCAAGCTAGATAGAGAGGCAACTTAGACACAGAAACAAACAAGCAAGATCTTGGGTGGAAGAGTAAAGGGCAGGGGTTCTTGCTACACACGATTGCCAGGGAATTGTCTTTTGCCTTAGGGATTTATTTCCTGTAGTGACTTCTGTCTGTGTGGCTACTCTTTTGGTTAACATTATGGGTTCAACTTATCATAGTGCAGGAACCAAGAGAAACACAAAGAGATTTCTCCTCTATAAAATGGAGTGAAAGAAGTGGGGATTACTTGAGATAATGGTTATAAAGCACTGGTAAGACCTGCTAAGTTGTAGTTGTTGCCAGTATGGTTATGTTAAAATGTAAGGGTTTCTCAATCAAGGACTGAACTCCACTCAGTGAGGGTGGAGAAGGGTCACAGTGCCACTGCCCAGCTCACCCTCTCCCAGAGAAGCAGATGGAAAAATGTCATGGGGGCATCCCCTCCGTACTATCTGACCCTATAGGGGGTCAGCCTGATCCTTTGGCTTTGGTTTGAGTCACCCCTCTAGCCCTGCATGGTCACATGGCGTTATTTTTGTTGTTGTTGAGACAGAGTCTTGCTCTGTTGCCAGCCTGGAGTGCAGTGGCACTATCTCAGCTCACTGCAACCTCTGTCTCACGGGTTCAAGCAATTCCCCTGCCTCAGCCTCCTGAGTAGCTGGGACTACAGGCATGCATCACCGTGCCTGGCTAATTTTTTTGTTATTTTTTAGTAGAGACAGGTTTCACCATGGCCAGGATGGTCTCGATCTCCTGACCTTGTGATCCTCCTGCCTCTACCTCCCTAAGTGCTGGGATTATAGGCATGAGCCACTGCACCCGGCTACACATGGTGTTCTTTTTTTTTTTTTTTTTGAGACGGAGTTTCACTCTTGTTACCCAGGCTGGAGTGCAATGGCGCGATCTTGGCTCACCGCAACCTCCGCCTCCTGGGTTCAGGCAATTCTCCTGCCTCAGCCTCCGGAGTAGCTGGGATTACAGGCACGCGCCACCATGCCCAGCTAATTTTTTGCACCTTTAGTAGAGACGGGGTTTCACCATGTTGACCAGGATGGCCTCGATCTCTTGACCTCGTGATCCACCCACCTCGGCCTCCCAAAGTGCTGGGATTACAGGCTTGAGCCACCGCGCCCGGCACACGTGGTGTTCTTAAACCATAGCACAATCAGTGAGAGTATAAGTTCTCGTCCCATGCACAGCTGCCATTGGCGCCATTGATGTACAGAAGGCTGCCAGCCCCAAACTCAGCCAGGTAACCAAATGTAGCAGCAGTGTGAGAAATAAGATAAGGCATTTAGATGGCTCATCCCCCATTCATTTGCTCATGTGTTTCCTGAGCACTGGCATTCTCTGACATCTAGCAACATATGGGATACCAGGGATGAAAGGTGGAATAGCACATCTTAGAGTCAGGCTGAAGACTATGAGAGTAGTAGACACACTGTTTTGGGAGTACTTCTATCATCATTGCAGAGGGAGAAAGGCATCTGAAAGGCAAAAAAGGCCTGTCGCTGTTAACTGAGGGCTGTCTCTGACACTCATAAGACTGGAAGAAAGAAAACCATCTATGGATGAAAACAAAGAAAACTGCTAAAATTCTTTTAGCATTTGGGAATTGTGGACATTGAGTTCACAAAATCTTTTCCTCTTCTGTATGAAAATCTGACTTCCAGTGAACTTCTTAGCTCTGTTCCCCTGGAAAGCCGATAAAGGTAGACTTGTCACCTATGGCCCTTAGTAACACCGCTGATGATAGAAATGACTGCTGATTGTTAAACTGCTTCTGGACAGGATAGAGGGGGTAAGTGGACTACACAGTCAACAGCTGATGGGAATGTTCTGTGGCAATTTTTTCTTTTTCCTTTTTAGAGACAGGATCTCATTCTGTTGCCCAGGCTAGGGTGCAGTTGCATGAACATAGCTCACTGCAGCCTCAGCCTCCTGGGCTGTAGCCATCCTTCTCCTGCCTTGCTCTCCTGAACAGCTGGGATTACAGGTGTGCACCACCATGAATGGCTGATTTTTAATTTTTTTGAAGAGGTGGGGGGGTCTCACTATGTTGCCCAGACTGGTCTCAAACCCCTGGGCTCAAGTGATCCTCCTATCTTCCCTCCCAAAGTGTGGAGATTACAGGCATGAGCCACCATGCTCAGCCATGTGGCAGCTCTCAAAACAGCAACTGACATGTCCCTTGCAGAAACAGTGGAAGGCATGCCTGCAGGGTTGTTATCAGAGATCCTGACTCCTGCAGGTCACGGGCTTCTAAGCCTGGATGACCCACCCCACCTAACGGGAGCCTCTTTCTCCAGCACCTATGGCTCGAACAAAGAGAGTATCTCCTGGATGACTGCGAGGACTCTCGCTGGAGGAAACGGTTTGCTGCTGCTGACACTGTGCTTTCTGTAGGGCGTCCTTCTAAGTAACTGAATGACAAGTGTGGCCTAGGCCTGTCCTGTGAGTCTGACTCCTTAGGCCTAAGAAGATCCCCTGTTATGAGTTGTAGGGACATAGATGTGGTACCTAGGCATCTAAGGGGAAATGACTTTTAGCCCATCCCTGCTAAATGGCAGTGAGGGAAGGCAGGCATTAGAACAGGAGGCATGGATGGAGTCTGTCGTGTGGTGGGCACACAGAAAGTGAAACTTAGTTCTGAAACTAAAAATTAAAATTGAACTCAGTTCTAAAACTAAGACAAGGCCGGGTGTGGTGGCTCATACCTGTAATCCCAGCACTTTGGAAGGCTGAGGCGGGCGGATCACTTGAGGCCAGGAGTTCAAAGCCAGCTTGGCCAACATGGTGAAACCTTGTCTCTACTAAAAATGCAAAAATTAGTCAGGCCTGGTGGTGTGTGCCTGTAATCCCAGCTACTCGGGAGGCTAAGGCAAGAGAATCACTTGAACTAGGTAAGTGGAGGTTGTGGTGAGCAAGATAACCCTACTGCACTCCAGCCTGGGCAACAGAAAGTGACTTTGTCTTGAAAAACATAAAATAAAATAAAACATAAAACTAAGGCAAGAATCAAGCCTTTCTGAGACATCTGTGGCCCTCTTCCAGCACCAAACAGTCATGCAGGTGTGACCCAGAGAACCCTGTGGAAGGCACACTCACCTTCACTTGGTAGCCTTCAGTTACCAGGAAATTTGAGCTTCTGATTTTTCCGTGGAGTTCAGGTGCTTCTGAATGGTGTAGCCTGACACAGCCAAAGGCAGGGAGTATTAGTGATCTTTGCACAAACTTTCTTGGGGGGACTGACAACCATGACTGGGCTGATCAGGCTGGACAGTACCATGGGTGCCTGTCCAGATAGGCAGGAAAAACTGAAATGCAGAGGCAAAGTTTGAGAATCCACAAGCTGTATGAAGCAGAGCTGAGATTCATAGCGCAAGGAGGCATGGCATCCCTTGTGGAGTGCATGCAATCTGGCATCAGGGATCCCTTGAGGTAGAGAAGGACAAAGGTGCCTCAGTGTTGCTTTGCCTGGGAAGCGCTGGGCAGATCCAAGTGCTCAGAGGCATGGCTGGCTGGCTGGACCTTGTTGGAACCCTTCAGGTCAAAACAGAATGTGAAGTCAGGGTCCCGCTGACTTCCAGACAAGCCCCTGTGTCCCAGGTTGTGTTGTGGTCATGGTGTCTGCCTGAGCTCAGATTCTTCCAGAAACAGATCCTGAGCCAAGGATTTGGGTAAGAGAGATTTGTATCAAGAAGGCGCTCCCTTGGCCAGGTGTGGTGGCTCACGCCTGTAATCCCTGCACTTCGGGAGGCCTAGTTGGGAGGATCACTTGAGGTCAGGAGTTTGAGACCAGCTTGGCTAACACAGAGAAACCCTGTCTCTACTATTAATAAAAATACAAAAAAATTAGCTGGACATGGTGGTGCCTGTCTGTAATCCCAGCTACTCGGGAGGCTGAAGCATGATAATCACTTGCACTCAGGAAGTAGAGGTTGCAGTGAGCCAAGATCACACCACTGCACTTCAGCCTGGGTGACAAAGTGAGACTCTGTCTCAAAAAAAACCTCCCAAAGTCCCCCAAACAAATGAAAACAAGGTGCTCACAGAAGAAATGGGTGAGGGAGTAGAAGAAGCAGGATGGGGAGAGAGAAGAGAAGAAATCAAGCAAGAGGTTGATTTCAGGTGAAATCCCAGGCTCAGGTGGTCTCACTGGTGGGGCACAATTACACCTCAGGGTGAGTCCCACAGGAGGCAACACCAGTCGATAGTTATGAACTGTGTTAGGGAGGGCAGGGACAGGTGAATATAAAACTTGTGGGCACTTTCAGCTGTCTGTAAGGGTGAAAGGGCTCCAGTGCCCACAGGCAATCCTCTGAAGATTGCAGCTGTGAACTTTTAGCAGCAAAGCATGCCAAGCAGGGGATGGGTACATAGAGCAGGTAAAAATGATCAGAAGTCATTTGAAGGGATATTAACAGTGTCCCCTACAACAACCAAAAATACTTCTTAAACTCACTAGTTTAGGGAGTTGATAAATAACAAACTTGATAACTTCAAATTAATAGCTAAGACAGTATTTCCAAAAGTATGGGATGAGGTGGTATGCAAGATTATATAAAGAGAAAATCATTCTTTCAATTTACTCCAGTCTTTCTGATTATATCGGGAGAAAGTCTGGGTTTGGTAATGGATATCCTTAAAACTTCTCTAACTGTGCCAGTATTTCCATTGCACAAAGAGAATGTGGGTTGGATCACAGAGCTTCTGGCGGGCAGCCTCATCCAGCCAGAATTTAATTACATTGTCTTGGTTTCATTTGTGATCACCTATTTTTGGCAAGTGACACTGGTTTTCAATTTATGATAGTTATAGAAAGTGTCATTTTTTTGGCAGTGGCTCACACCTGTAATCTCAGCAATTTGGGAGGTTGAGGCAGGCAGATCACCTGAGGTCAGGAGTTTGAGACCAGCCTGACCAACATGGTGAAACCTTGCTTCTACTAAAAACACAAAAATTAGCTGGGCATGGTGGTGGGCACCTGTAATCTCAACTACTTGGGAGGCTGAGGCAGGAGAATGGCTTGAACCCAGGAGGCAGAGGTTGCAGTGAACCGAGATCACTCCATTGCACTCCAGTCTGGGTGACAGAGTGAGACTCCGTATCAAAAAAATAAACAAATTAAAAAAAAAAAAGTATGCTTCTTAAAAACTTTATTTCAATTTTTTTTTTTTTTTTTTTTTTTTTTTTGATACAGAGTCTCACTTTATCTCCTAGGCTGGAGTGCAATGGTGTGCTATCAGCTCACTGCAACCTCCGCCTCCCAGGTTCAAGCGATTCTTGTGCCTCAGCCTCCTGAGTAGCTGCTGGGATTACAGACAGGCGTGTGCCACCATGCCAGGCCAATTTCTGTATTTTTAGTAGAAAAAGGGTTTCACAGGCCAGGCGCGGTGGCTCACGCCTGTAATCCCAACACTTTGGGAGGCCGAGGCGGGCAGATCACAAGCTCAAGAGATTGAGACCATCCTGGTCAACATGGTGAAACCCCGTCTCTACTAAAAATACAAAAAATTAGCTGGGCATGGTGGCGCATGCCTGTCATCCCAGCTACTCAGGAGGCTGAGGCAGGAGAATTGCTTGAACCCAGGAGGCGGAGGTTGCGGTGAGCCGAGATCGCGCCATTGCACTCCAGCCTGGGTAACAAGAGCGAAACTCCATCTCAAAAAAAAAAAAGAAAAACGGTTTCACCATGTTGGCCAGGCTGGTCTTGAACTCCTGACCTTAAGTGATCCACCCACCTAGGTCTCTCAAAGTGCTGGGATTACAGGCATGAGCCACTGTGCCCAGCCTTTATTCAGATTTTTAAAAAGTGAATCAATGTAGTGAAAAATGTTGAGTAAATAATACTGGTAGTACTACAGTTAAAACCCTGCAGATGGTTTGTGGGTGACTAACCTTTAGGGACACCTTGAGCCTAAGGATCCATAGATTCTGCAGGTGAGAACAGGTAGAGTTGCCAAATAAAACACAAAACACTATTAAATTTGAGTTTCTGAGAAGTGATGAATATATATATATATTCATGTGTTAATATACATATATATTAGTTCAAGCATGCCCACAAATTGCATGGGAGATAGTTATACGAAAAAGAAATGTTTATCCAAAATTTGGGGCTGAGGCAGAAGGATTGCTTGATCCCAGGAGTTCGAGACTAGCCTAGGCAGCATGGCAAAACCTCATCTCTACAAAAAAAAAATTTTTTTTAATTGGCTGAGTGTGGTGGTGCACGCCTATAGTGCCAGCTACTCAGGAGGCTAAGGTGGGAGGATTGCTTGTGCTTGGGAGATTGAGTGAGCTGTGACCACATCACATCTAGCCTGGGGAAGAGAGAGAGACTTTGTTTCAAAATACAAAATAAAATTTGGTATTTTTGATCTTTAGGTATGAGTACATACCATGCAATATTTAGGATGTACTTATACTAAAAATTATTCACTACTTTCCTAACATTCAAATTTAACTGGATATGTTTATTTTTGTGCTAAATCTGTCCACTTCAAAATTAGGGCCCATCCAACTTTACAAGTACAGTGTGGACATTAAATTCAACCTTCAGTTCTGGGAGCTGGTGTTCCCTGGGTTAAGCCTCCTTCCTCCCTCCTATCTGTAATCCGAGTAAATAGTAAAACTGTATGGGAGGGGACTGTCTGGGGCTTCTGGCCTGTTCTCTCACCATCTCTTGCAGTATCAGGAGTGTGGACAGACCCATCCAACCCTTCGTGGCACCTTTTCACCCCGTCATACCGGTACAGGCCTTGGGCTGCCCCCAGGACAAGGACCATGCGCTTGCCAAGTGTGAGATCTTCTTCCCGATCCAACAGCTCCCTCAGGGTCCCACGTTCACAGTACTCCATGATGATGGAGAACTGAGTCGGAGTCACTGGTGGAAAGGAGCAAGACACTATGAGATCCGTCCTACTCGGAGCTCCTGCTCTCTGCAGCCTGCCTCTCCTGGCCTCTGTGCAGACACAGACTTGGCTCTGCTTTAAGTCCTATTTCTCCCTAGCTCTTATCCTACAGTTTTGCTCCCCGGCCTCCTTGAATGGACCAAATACACTCAGAATTCCCATCCTCTTCTCCAAAATACTTGGCTTGTCATAATTCTACCTTAAAAAAAAATTATGGGCCGGGCGTGGTGGCTCAAGCCTGTAATCCCAGCACATTGGGAGGCTGAGGTGGGTGGATCACGAGGTCGAGAGATCGAGACCATCCTGGTCAACATGGTGAAACCCCATCTCTAGTAAAAATACAAAAAAGTAGCTGGGCATGGTGGCGCTTGCCTGTAATCCCAGCTACTCAGGAGGCTGAGGCAGGAGAATTGCTTGAACCCAGGAGGTGGAGGTTGCGGTGAGCCGAGATCATGCCATTGCACTCCAGCCTGGGTAACAAGAGCAAAACTCCGTCTCAAAAAAAAAAAAAAAAAAAAAAAAATTATGTTCAGCCAGACATGGTGACTTACGCCTGTAATCCCAGCACTTTGAGAGAATGACGTGGATGGATCACTTGAGGCCAGGAATTCGAGACCAGCCTGGTCAACATGAAATCCGGTCTCTATAAAAAATGCAAAAACTAGCCAGATGTAGTGGTGCATACCTGTAGTCCCAGCTACTTGGGAGGCTGAGAAAGGAGGATTGCTTGAACCTGGGAAGCAAAGATTGCAGTGAGCCAAGATTGCGCCACTGCACTCCAACCTGGGTGACAGAGCGAGACTCTCCCTCAAAAAAAAAAAAAAGTTCTTTTTCTTCTTTTACTTTCATCTCCCTTTCCTGGTATAATTCTATATTTGCTTGAGTAGTTGTTTGGGAAATGTCTTCCTCACTCAGCTGGAAGCCCAAGGTGGCAAGAAATGTGTCTGTCTTGTTCACATGGTGCTCACAAGGAGCTTCGTACATCTGTGTGGGAGGAATGAGTGGGGCACACACGGCAGGGGCAGGCGAGGACTCAGACAAGAAGTTGACATCCCTGTTCATGGACCTGAGTTGCAAAACTAACACATGACTGAGCCAGGCACCTCAGCAGTCCCCCAGGAGAATAAACACTGCTGAACATTTGCCTTTATTTTTTATTTTTTTGAGACAGAGTCTAGCTCAGCCTCCTGAGTAGCTGGAATTACAGGTACCTGCCACCACGTCTGGCTAATTTTTTTGTTTTTAGTAGAGACTAAAAATAGTTTCATCATGTTGGCCAGGCTGGTCTTGAAATCCTGACCTCAAGAGATCTGCCCGTCTCGGCCTCCCAAAGTGCCGGGATTACAGGTGTGAGCCACTGCACCTGGCAGCTTCATAATGTTTTAGAGGAACAAGATGTACCCCTCTTCCAGACTGGCATCTAAACATGTACCCCTTGTTTCCCAGTGGGCTGAAAGGAGAAGATGTAGCCATGTTAGTACAAATCAACTCTCAGGCTTCAGCTCTGCTCTCCTGAAAGAAGATAAGAACATGCATCTTGGGATTAAAAAAAAATTAACATTGATAATCACACTGTGTAGATTTCAGCCTTTGTGGTGTTCTTAAAAAAAAAAAAAAAAAAAAGCAACACATTAAAACACACAAGGTATATTCCAGGCCGTCAAAAGCTTGGTCAGCCCCAGAAACACTCCTTACCTGTTTCATCAATGCAAATCCCAAATATACGCAGAATGTTGGGAGATTCAAATTTCTTCATGGTTTTGATCTCATCATTGAAAATCTGCCTTACCATTCTATGAGGATAAAAGGAGAAATTGGGATTTCAGAACTGGAAGGTTCCTTAGAGAACACTCAGTGTAGTGATGCTCTGTGTATGTGGGCATGGGGGTATCAGCATCTCCTGGGGGTAAGAACTGGTGCCAGGATGAGCTCAGCTACTGATGGCAACATGTAGAACCCCTCGGGTGCCTGCAGCAGCACAATTTGTCCCTTGGGATCTGTGAAATATTAATGGGGCTTGCTAATATGTTTTCAACAGTTCAAATAGTCTGATGGAATTCTATTTTTATGACCTACAGGGCTTTATTAGGCAAACTAAAAAGTCAAGTGTTTGTTATTATTTTTAGGCTGTAACATGTTGTTTAGCACATACTCTGACAGATTGTGATGTATGCCTTTTTTTTTTTTTTTTTTTTAAATTAGAGACAGGGTCTTGCTCCGTCACCTAGGCCGGAGTGTAGTGGTGCAATCTTGGCTCAGGGCAACCTCCACCTCCCAGGTTCATGCCATTCTTGTGCTTCAGTCACCTGAGGAGCTGAAACTACCGGTACGTAGCACCATGCTCAGCTCATTTTTTTTTTTTTTTTGAGACGAAGTTTCACTCTTGTTGCCCAGACTGGAGTGCAATGGTACAATCTTGGTTCACCACAACCTCCGCCTCCCAGGTTCAAGTGATTCTCCTGCCTCAGCTTCCCAGGTGGCTGGGACTGCAGGCAACCGCCAACCCGCCCAGCTAACTTTGTATGTTTAGTAGAGACAAGATTTCTCCATGTTGGTTAGGCTGGTCTCGAATTCCCAACCTCAGGTGATCTGCCTGCCTCAGCTTCCCAAAATTACAGGCATGTGCCACCATGCCCAGCCTCGGCTAATTTTTGTATTTTTTTGTAGAGATGTGGTTTCGCCATGTTGAGCAGGCTGGTCTCAAACTCCTGGCTTCAAGTGATCTGCCTGCCTACGCCTCCCAAAGTGCTGAGATTACAGGTGTGAGTCACAGTGCCCATCCCACGGTGTGTATCTTTGATTAATAAAAATAAGGATAAGCCGCCGGGCGCGGTGGCTCACGCCTGTAATCCCAGCACTTTGGGAGGCCGAGGCGGGTGGATCACAAGGTCCAGAGATTGAGACCATCCTGGTCAACATGGTGAAACCCCGTCTCTACTAAAAATACAAAAAATTAGCTGGGCATGGTGGCACGTGCCTGTAATCCCAGCTACTCAGGAGGCTGAGGCAGGAGAATTGCCTGAACCCAGGAGGCGGAGGTTGCGGTGAGCCAAGATCGTGCCATTGCACTCCAGCCTGGGTAACAAGAGCGAAACTCCATCTCAAAAAAAAAAAAAAAAAAAAAAAATAATAATAATAATAATAATAAGGATAAGCCACATACAGCACTGTGGGAGGCTGAGACAGGCAGATCACCTTAGGTTGGAAGTTCGAGACCAGACTGACCACCAGGGAGAAACCTTGCCTCTACTAAAAATACAAAATTAGCTGGGCATGGTGGCGCATGCCTGTAATCCCAGCTACTCTGGAGACTGAGGCAGGAGAATCGCTTAAACCCAGGAGGTGGAGGTTGCAGGGAGCCGAGATTGTGCCATTGCATTCCAGACTGGGCAACAAGAGCGAAATTCCCTCTCAAAACAATAAAATAAAATAAAATAAAAATAAGGATATTTATTAAGTGAAATATTATAATCAAAATTCCTTCCAAAACGTGGGCCTTAAGGAATATAGGCAGGTAAATTATTAAAGAGGATCACTGGAACCACCAACTCAATCCAGTCTGTTCATTTACTCTTTGACTCAAAGCGTAAAGGGGGCTTGTCCAAGGTCTGTCAGAGAATCAGGGAAGGTTCAGAGCCTGCAAAAGTCAACTGTATTTCTATCTGATAGCAATTAACAGTCAAAAGATTAAATTAAAAAATTTTTATTTCCAATAGCAAAAATATAATAAAATACTTAGGAATAAATTTACAAAAAAATTACAAGTCTTACCCTGAAAATTCTGTGCCTAAAATATTGTTGAAAGAATTTGTTTGTTTTTTGAGATGGAGTCACTCTTGTTGCCCAGGCTGTAGTGGAATGGCATAATCTTGGCTACTGCAACTTCTACCTCCCGGGTTCAAGTGATTCTCCTGCCTCAGCCTCCCAAGTAGCTGGGATTACAGGTACCTGCCACCACACCCAGATAATTTTTGTATTTTTTAATAGAGACGGGGCTTAACCATGTTGGCCAGGCTGGTCTTGAACTCCTGACCGCAGGTGATCCGCCCACCTCAGCCTCCCAAAGCGCTGGGATTACAGGCATGAGCCACTGTGCCCGGCCTGTAAATATATTTAAAGCCATTAAATTGTACATCTTAAATAGGTAAATCTTATGGTATATAAAATATATCTCAATAAAGCTGTTAAAAATACAGTCTCAATCAAAATCTTGATGCGTATTTTGAGAACTGTGATAAAACTTTCTTTGATATTTATTTAGCTAAGTCAACCTGAAAAAGAAGAATCAAGAGGAGGAAATTCTTTACCATATTTTGAAACTTACTGCAAAGTCATATGAGAAAAACAGTAGCAATGTGTTATTGGTACAAAATCAGACAAATTGATCAGTGGGACAGATTAGAGAGATCAGAGTCAGATCCATGTCTACATAAAAACTTAATATACAATAAATATGGTACCACACAGCAACAGGGAAAAGACAGACCACTTAATAGATGGAACAGGGGAAACTGACTATGTGACTAAAAATTAAATTTGACCCTATATAATATCACATCCAAAGGTGGATTCCAGTAGGATTAAAACCTAAATATAAAAGAACGAAAATTAAGAGAAGAAAATATAGAATGCTGTTAAGATCTAGAGGTGGTTAAGCACACCTCCAGAACACAAATAAAAAGCTTGCAATATCTAAAGCTGACAAATGCTTGATTTCCAAAATATACAAAGATCTACAGACAAGACAAAAGCAGTAATCGTGAGGGAAAAATGGGCAGAGGATATGAACAGGCAATTTATGGAAGAGAAAACCCAAATAGCTAAAGCATGTAAATAAGAGTTTGAATTCATTAGTTAAAAACAGAAATGCAAGTTAAAATAACTATAAGATATTGATCACTTTACAACTATAAGGATCAAAATAGTTAGAAAGCAGGATAACACTAAGGGTTGGTGAGGTTGCTCATGGAAGTGTAGCCATAGACACTCTATTCTGAAGAAGCCTGGTAGTACTTAGTCACTTAACATACACATATCCTATGGTCCCTCATTTCCTCTCCTGGTGCTAGATCCCAAAGACTTCTCATACAGGTCCCTAAAGGGACACTTAGCATGGCATTTTTTTTTGGTGGGGAAAAGTTGGAAGTTGACCAGGTTCCATTACCAGAAAAAAAAAAAAGACAAAATGTATGGCTCATGCCTGTTATCCCATCTCTTTGGGAAGCTAAGGCAGGAGGTGCTTGAGCCTAGGAGTTCCAGACCAGCCTGGGCAGCACAGTGGGACCCTGTCTCTACAAAAAATTTAAAAATTGGCTGGGTGTGGTGGTGCACATCTGCAGTCCCAGCTACTTGGGAGGCTGAGGTGTGAGGATTGCTGGAGCCCAGGAGGTCGAGGCTGCAATGAGCTATGATCTCACCACTGCACTCTAGTGCACTCCAGCCTGGATAACAGAGTGTGGCCTTGTCTCAAAAAAAAAAAAAAAAAAAAAAAAAATTGGCAAAATGTGGATCTTCACCATGGATGGCAGACAGAAATTAAGGACTCCAAGTATGGAACATGTTCCAGGATGTTGAGTGAGAAAAGTGAGGAAAGGAGGCAACATACACATAACTCTATCAGTTGTGAACATGGATACATATATTTTACAAGAACACACACAAACAAAACACACTAGAATTACTGTTTGGTGAGGGGATGGGCCACTGGGAAAGAGAGTTAAAAGGGAAGTTTTTAAAAAATACATGTACGCGAATAAAGAAGACTCTAGGACCGAGGTGGAAAGATATATTTGTCAAGACCCTGCTCCGTAATAGAATAGTGGAGAGCACGTCATTTAACCCTTTGGGGTCCAGGCTTCCTCATCTAAAAATGGAGATAATACACCTTTCTCTTTGGAGAGTTATAGAGAGTAAGTATTGGTATGCACAAGAGAACCACATAAAACAACTCACCCAATGCTGCCAGCCTGGGGTTTGTTGAATACTTTTATGGCTACTGGAGCTCTGTGGTATTCTCCTTTATAAAGTGTGCTGACTTTATTTTGGCTTAGCAGAGTCCACGGGGATCCTGAAAGCTGCTCCTTCTTGATCTCCTTGACTTGCTCTTGCGGGGTCTCCTGCATGCGTTTTCGTGGTGAATCTGACCTCAGCCCCAGGAGGAAGGAAGACAAAAGAGTCAATGAGCAGAGGAAGGGACACTAAGGGAGGTGGCATCTTTGTGATATAGTGGGAAGCCCTCACCATAAACCAGAGCTGGTCCTGGCTGGGGCTTCTGATGGACTCAGCCCAGAGAAGTGGCTCCAGTGCCTCTGAGTGACCGGTAGAGACATAGCTGGACACTTAACAGAAGGTGTCACGCACCTCCTTTCCCTCCTCTTCAAATCCGGCCTGTCCCTCCAGACTTAACCCTCATCCAGACCCATCTCCCTCATCCTGGAAGTCTCTCTATTCCTGTTCCCCAGAGCTTTTCACTTGAGCATCTGGCATCTGGTTTAGTCACTTCAGATCTACTAGTTAGGGACACAATTCAAGCTCAGTAACCTTGCTGTTGTGTGTTCACTGTCTTTCCACGTCCCTCCTCCACCCCATGAGCTCCTGGAAGGCAGTGTCCTCTGCATCTTAGTTTTCTCTTTGCAAGGCTTCTGGCATAAAGCAGATACTCATAGTTTTGCTGCATAATGAATGAATGGGCATTTAAAAATGGATTTGAATTTTTTCTTGGAAATTCAGCAACTGAACTGAAGCTTTGGTGCTATTCATAGACGTTTTTAAGCACTTTGACAGGTGTTAGAAGATATCTTACTGGTCAAGAAGCTCCCTCCAGATGTTATTCCATGGACAGAAGCGGAGCTAGCCATGAATGGATCCCCAAACCTGTGGGCTGCTTCCAGCCATCCAGCACAGAAAAAGGACGAACGCAGGGGTAGGAGGAGGCTGGGGTCCCACTAAACTGATGACTTCTAGTTTGAGGGCCATCAGAAACAGCAGGGCACATGATAACTTACACTGCCTCAAAGTTTCCTTGATTTCTTTCATGTCCTTTTCCAATCGTTTCAATGAAGCTTCTATGTTTTCATTATCTGCAGGAAAAAAGGGCAGTGAATATTCAAAAAGAGAAATTAAAATCACATGCTAATCAAAACAAAAATGCTAATTAAAACTGTTGAGATATCATTTTTTACTTATCATAGTCATTATAGTAGGGATTACTATTTTTTTTTTTTTTTTTTTTTTTTGAGACGGAGTTTCGCTCTTTGTTACCCAGGCTGGAGTGCAATGGCGCGATCTCGGCTCACCGCAACCTCCGCCTCCTGGGCTCAGGCAATTCTCCTGCCTCAGCCTCCTAAGTAGCTGGGGTTACAGGCACGCGCCACCACGCCCAGCTAGTTTTTTGTATTTTTAGTAGAGACGGGGTTTCACCATGTTGACCAGGATGGTCTCGATCTCTCGACCTCGTGATCCACCCGCCTCAGCCTCCCAAAGTGCTGGGATTACAGGCTTGAGCCACCGCACCCGGCTAGGGATTACTATTGATCACCAATATTCAGATTTCTACTTCTAAACACATAGGAAATGCATTAAAGCTGGCTGGGTGACTTGCTTTGGCTAAGAAATGAAGGAAAAAGATGTCTGTCACTTCCCAGAGGGAGCATTTAATTGACTCTGCACAAGGTTCCAACCTGGCTGCTTTGGAAGTGAGGAAAGTTTGTGTCTACACCAAAGTGCTATACTATTGAAAGTATCTTGGAAGGAGGACATTCACCTTGGAGAGTCGCCTGGACTTTGCCTGAATGAGAAATAAACTTGTTTCTTTTCTTTTCTTCCTTTCTTCCTTCCTTCCTTCTTTCTTTCTTTCCTTTCTTTTTTCTTTCTTTCTTTCTTTCTCTCTCTCTCTCTCTCTCTCTCTCTTTCTTTTTTTTTAGCAGAGAGCAATTTATTAGGCAGAGAGAGAAAGGAGCGAGAGAGCTCCCACGCTGCCTGCTGTGGGAAGGGAAACTTGTTTCTTTTCTTTTTTTTTAGGTATCACTCAGGCTGGAGTGCAATGGCACAGTCTCAGCTCACTGCAACCTCTGCCTCTTGTGTTCAAGTAATTCTCCTGCTTCAGTCTCCTGAGTAGCTGGGATTAGGGGCATGCGCCACCATGCCCAGCTAATTTTGTATTTTTAGTAGAGATGGGGTTTCTCCATGTTGGTCAGGCTGGTCTCGAACTCCTGACCTCAGGTGATCCTCCCACCTTGGTGTCCCAAAGTGCTGGGATTACAGGCGTGGGCCACCACACCCAACGTAAACTTGTTTCTTTAGAACACTGAGTTGCTGTTGCTTTTTAAACCACAGCATAATTGAACTTATCATAACTTATATACTCAGAAATGTGTGAAAATTTATAACACACTATTTACAGTGGTCAGTCATCCCTGTCTGCCCAGGACTAAGGAGTTCTGGGGAAATGAAACCTTGAGTACTAAAAGTGAGAAAGTCTCTTATGGGAAAACTATAGAGAAACAGATAACCTCATGAATTGTTGGTAGGAGTGATATTTGTGCAACTTCTACCAACATTTGAAATGCCTCTAGTCTTCGACGCAGTGATTATACCTAGTAATTCCAGTTGTGGGAATTTCTCATAAAGATATCTTGAAATAGGCTGGGCATGGTGGCTCATGCCTGTAATCCTAGCACTTTGGGAGGCTGAGGCAGGCAGATCACTTGAGGTCAGGAGTTCAAGACCAGCCTGGCCAACATGGTGAAACCCCATCTCTACTAAAAATACAAAAATTAGTTGGGCATGATGGCACACGCCTGTAATCCCAGCTACTTGAGTGGCTGAGACACAAGAATTGCTTGAACCCAGGAAGCAGAGGTTGCAGTGAGCCAAGATCATACCACTGCACTCCAGCCTGGGCAATAGAGTGAGTCTCTGTTTCAAAAAAAGAAAAAAAACAGGGCCGGGCGCGGTGGCTCAAGCCTGTAATCCCAGCACTTTGGGAGGCCGAGGCGGGTGGATCACGAGGTCAAGAGATCGAGACCATCCTCATCAACATGGTGAAACCCCGTCTCTACTAAAAATAAAAAAAATTAGCTGGGCATGGTGGTGTGTGCCTATAATCCCAGCTACTCAGGAGGCTGAGGCAGGAGAATTGCCTGAACCTAGGAGGCGGAGGTCACGGTGAGCCGAGATCATGCCATTGCACTCCAGCTTGGGTAACAAGAGCGAAACTCTGTCTCAAAAAAAAAAAAGAAAGAAAGAAAGAAAAAAAGAAAAAAAAATTTCTGGTGATAGTGGTGACTATTTCAGAACCATCTGAATATACTTGATGCCACTGAATTGACATCTTAAAATGGTTGAAATGGTAAATTTTACGTTATGTATGTTTTATCACTGAAAAATCGGAAAAAATGATGGGTATATATATAGTGCTTTTTTTTTTTTTTTTTTTTTTTTTTGAGACGGAGTTTCGCTCTTGTTACCCAGGCTGGAGTGCAATGGCACGATCTCGGCTCACCACAACCTCCGCCTCCGCCTCCTAGGTTCAGGCAATTCTCCTGCCACAGCCTCCTGAGTAGCTAGGATTATAGGCACGCGCCACCATGCCCAGCTAATTTTTAGTATTTTTAGTAGAGACGGGGTTTCACCATGTTGACCAGGATGGTCTCGATCTCTTGACCTCATGATCCACCCGCCTCGGCCTCCCAAAGTGCTGGGATTACAGGCTTGAGCCACCGCACCCAGCTAGTGCTGTTTTTGTATGTATTTGTATTTGTATGCTGCTGGTATGATAATAAAACAAAACAAAACAGTAAGGTAGATGCCAAGTAGGAAAACAAGCTATAGAACTCTACGGATTTTTTTTTTCTTTTTTGAGACGGAGTCTTGCTGTTGTCCAGGCTGGAGTGCAGTGGTGCGATCTCAGCTTACTGCAACCTCCACCTTCCAGGTTCAAGGGATTCTTCTGTCTCAGCCTCTCGAGTAGCTGGGATTACAGGCATGTGCTACCATGCCCAGATAATTTTTTTGTGTATTTTTAGTAGAGGCAGGGTTTCACCATGTTAGTCAGGATAGTCTTGATCTCCTGACCTCATGATCTGCCCGCCTTGTCCTCCCAAAGTGCTGGGATTACAGGCGTGAGCCACCGTGCCCGGCCAACTCTATGGATATTTACATGGGAGGATATTTGAGATTATTTAATGAGAAAAGAAGAAATAGAACAACGTATTTGGTATGATGCTGATTGTGTGACAACAATAAAATATTTATACTTAAATTTCCAGAAGGGTATTCAAGAAATTGGCAGATTGTGTGATTGTATCTCACATTTTTTTTTTTTTTTTTTTTTTTTTTTGAGACGGAGTTTTGCTCTTGTTACCCAGGCTGGAGTGCAATGGCGCGATCTCGGCTCACCGCAACCTCCGCCCCCTGGGTTCAGGCAATTCTCCTGTCTCAGCCTCCTGAGTAACTGGGATTACAGGCACGAGCCACCATGCCCAGCTAATTTTTTTGTATTTTTAGTAGAGACGGGGTTTCACCATGTTGACCAGGATGGTCTTGATCTCTTGACCTCGTGATCCACCCGCCTCGGCCTCCCAAAGTGCTGGGATTACAGGCTTGAGCCACCGCGCCCGGCCTGTATCTCACATTTTGATAAAGGTTGCACAAATATCCTTCTACTGACAATGGATGAGATTATCGGTTTGTCTATACTTTTTCCATTAGACTTTCCCAGTTTTAGTACGGAAGGTCTCATGTCCTCAAAAAGGGAAACAGGGCACCCTGAGGTCAAGGAGGAAGATTTACGTCTCATGCTGGCTTCCATGCCCTTTGTTTTTGGAGACAGGATTTCGCTCTGTTGCCCAGGCTTCAGTGCAGTGGAATAATCATGGCTCACCACAGCCTTGACCTCTTGGGTGCCTGTAATCCCAGCACTTGGAAGGCTGAGGCAAGAGGATCACTTGAGGCCAGGAGTTTTACACCAGCCTGGGCAACATAGCAAAACTCCCTATCTTACAAAAAATAAAATGAAAATGAGTTGGGCACAGTGGTGGGTACACCTATATACTCAGCTACTCAGGAGGCTGAGGTGGGAGGATCACTTGAGCCTGAGGCTGCACTGAGCTATGATCGTGTCACTGTCCTCCAGCCGATATGATAGAGGCCCTATCTCAAAAAACAAAGCAAAACAAAATTCCTCCCCAACGCTCGCTTGCCCAAATTTCACCAGCCCCCACCATATATCTGGGCCAAAGAATGTTAGGGGTTTTGAGCTACAAGTGTATTACAACCGCTCAAACTTCATCCTTGCTGCTCCTTTAGTGAATTAAAGTGAGACTAAAATGCGTTCGGCTGTACTTCCACTCCCCACCAAAAACCCAACTTGCCCCTTCTCAGCATCTGGAAGGCTCGCCTGTCTTCAGCTGCATCCTGCTGATCTTCCTGTGCCCAGGACGCTCCTTGGCTTATGTGTGAAACAGATAGGTGTTGCTCAACCTGAAGTAACAGCGATAGGTCCTTCCAGACATCATTCAGTTTCTCGTTGACGTCTTTGAAGAGTATTTTGTCCTGGCTTGTTGTTAAAAACCTCCCGATATTGGATTTATTGCTGAACTTTTCTATCTCCTCATTAGCCTCCTCTAGGGCAACCTTGAAGCGGTTCATGGCTGTGTTTAACTTCTCAGAGGGCACCTTCCTCTTTCCTTGGTCCTGGAGCATCTCCAGAGACTCGACCAGGCCAAGGACACGGTTGCCCAGGCGCTGGCACTGTTTCTTGCAGTATTTCATCTCTTCACACCGTTTGTAGATGACCTGGCCAAAGGTGATGATATGCTTCAAATTTTCCATACCTAGAAGAAATGAATGGAATTTGGTGAAATCCCCAAATTTCCTGCATATTCACTACTTGGCTAAGAAAGAATCAAAGGGATCTGTGATTTAAATGCCTGAGGAGGTCTCCCCACCATTTTAATGCAAGATAGAGATGGTTTGCTGCCCACCAAAATCTGTTCTGCCCTTCCATAATAATACACTTATAGCTGAGAAGAGCTGGTATAGCCAGGACTACATCTCCTAGCCTTCCTTGCAGCATGATGTGGCCATATGACTAGTTCTCACCAATGGGGTGTGACTGTATGTGACTGGCTCTACTTTGGACTGGGGCAGCTTTGCCACCTCCACAAGCTCTCCCTTTGCGGGCTGAATGCTCAGGGTGAAGCAGGCCTAGGGGTAGTGGAGCCCTAAGAAGGGTCCTGGGTCTCTGGATCATCACTTGGAAGAGAGCTGCCCACAGACCTGGAACATCTGTCATGGACTGTTAGGTGATTGAGGAATAAATTTGTATTGCATGTAAACCATTGTATTTTCTTTAAAAGCAGTGTTTGCTTTATTTGCAACTAAAGCCAATGGAGTTCAGTAATGAATGATGATACTAATGATGACAATAGATCTCTCACCTACTACATCCTAAGTGCTTTGGAACCTCCAGCTCTCCATGGGTATTTTCATTTAACAGATGAAGATACTGACTGGGTACAGTAGTTCATGCTTGTAATCCCAACATTTTGAGAGGTAGAGGTGGAAGGACTGCTTGAGGCCAGGAGTTAGAGACCAGTGTCAGCAACACAGCGAGACTCATCTCTACTAAAAATACAAAAATTAGCTGAACGTTGTGGTACACATCTGTAGCCCCAGCTACTCAGGAGGCTGAGATGGGAGAATTGCTTGAGCTTGGGAGGTCGAGGTTGGAGTGAGCTATGATGATACCACTGCACTCCAGCCTGGGAAACAGAGGGAGACCCTGTCTTGAAAAAACAAACAGGTGAAGATGCTGCAATTTAGGGAGGTTGCATTCAAATAATCACAAGGTCATGGAACCAGTTTTCAAAGTATTTAAAATAAAGTTAGGGTCGGGTGTGATGGCTCAAACCTATAATCCTAGCACTTTGTGAGGCTAGAGGATCGCCCGAGCCTGAGTTTGAGACTAGCCTAGGCAACATGGTAAAACCCTGTCTCTACAAAAAAATACAAAAATTAGCTGGGTGTGGTGGTGCCTGCCTCTAGTCCCAGCTACTCTGGAGCCTGAAGAGGGAGAATTGATTGAGCCTGGGAGGTTGAGGCTGCAGCGAGCCATGACTCTGCCGCTGACTCCATCCAGCCTGGGCAACAGGATGAGACCCTGTCTCAAAAATACCACCACCACCACAGCCACCGCCACCAATAACAACAACAACAAAAAACAAAGTTAGTGGTTTTTTTTTTAAATAGCTCACTGAAATTGGTAGGTTAAGTATTATCACCAGTTTATGGATTAAATAACAGCTTGGAGAAAATAATTGGCTTGGAGCCCCAATATGGCTTTAAAACATGAGTAAGGCACTGGAAGTGAAACTAGAAGTGAAACCAGAAGTGAAACTAAATAAATGAGCTATAGATATACTTGAGTTTTTGTTGCCTGAGAGTTATAAGTGATCGGGCAAGGGAGCTAATAGTTATTAGGGCACTCCTACAAAGATGAGCAGATCTCAGACTACCCAGCTATTCCGAGAAGCTAAGAAGATAGCCTCCAGGCCGTTTCCTGGGAATTGTGAGGGCAAAGGGTTTTACACTTCCTCTGTTGCACCAGAAACAGAAGCAAATGTGACAATGTCGTTCAAGGAATCTCGCAGATTTCAGCTTCCCAGCTCCAAGCTCCAATTGTCTTACTACCAGCCTCATTGGAAAGCCAAATCTCAGCACTAATTAATCGGAAAGGAAAATGGGGAAAATATCCCACACATGGAAGTGACAAACAATTTAAAATAATAAATTATACAGTGGTGGCATGGTATGAAGAAAATTGCAGCCAGCACAGTGGCTCACGCCTGCAATCTCAGCACTTTGGGAGGCCAAGGTGGGTGGATCACCTGAGGTCAGGAGTTTGAGACCAGCCTGGCCAACATGGTGAAACTCCATCTCTACTAAAAATACAAAAATTAGCCGGGCGTGGTAGCGGGCATCTGTAATCCCAGCTATTCAGGAGGCTGAGGCAGGAGAATTGCTTGAACCCAGGAGGTGGAGGTTGCACTGAGCAGAGATCTCACCACTGTGCTCCAGCCTAGGCAAAAGAACAAAGCTCCATCCAAAGGGGAGAAGGGAGAGGGGAGAGGGGAGGGAGGAAAAGAAAGAAAGGAAGGAAGAAAGAGAAAGAAAAAGAAGAAAGAAAGAAAAGGAATTGCACACACACACACACAAAATGGAATTGCACAAAACAAAGCTTGAAGAAAGAGAAGTGTTATATTTCTGGCTGGGAAGACTAAAATAGACCAACCCAGCAATCCCTCCCAAATGTAAATCCAATTAATGGAGTTCCAATAAAACATCCAATGACATATTTTGGCATTAAAACTAAATGATCTTAAAGTTCATTTGAAACAGGAAATTAGTAGG